ATCCGTCACGACGATCTTGCAAAAGCCGTTAAATAATTTATCGTATTAACCTATAACGGTCGGATAGCTTACAGTATACGCATTATGCACCGCACCGGCGTGGTTTTTATTGTTTCACACTAAGAGAACCGTAAAGTCTCGGGTCACACGTGTTTCGGAATTCGTAGAAGTATTCGAAACGGCGTTAATTGCTCGGCCGGTTATATGGGATTATTATACAGGGTGTGCGATGCGCGCGGCAACATCGTCGCCGACTGGAAAATTCCCGGTTGACGTACACACACACGCGATCGTCGTGTAAGCAACATGATAATAACAATAAAATCTAAGAGAAAACAAAATGAAATATATTGTTGATTTTTCCAGTTTCTGAACTGTGAAACAAGGAATGTATCGATTTTATTGCACGATGTGTGTGTGTGTGTGTGTGTGTGTGTTTTTTTGTGTCTGCAAACAACGTTTCTACAAGAAATCTCGGTCCGATCGAAAACTTTGTTTACACAATTTCTCGTAACGTCTTGTTTGATCTAGTCGATGCATTTAGGAGATTGGTTTGATAAATTTAAAAAACCGGACATTTTTGGTAAATCTATAATTTGTGTTGATTTCCGAGTTACATTGTCAAATAGGGAAAAATACGATAGATAATACTCTGCTCATAATCGTTTTTTTTTTTTTTTTCATTGCGACGATTTATCATTGATTTCATCAGTATTTATAAATTAAATGACTTTATATCCTATTATATCTACTAGATTTTCTATCTACGACAGTGGTGTACGGCCTACCCAGATTCGAAGTATGTCTGGTATATTTTTTTTCTGTCTCTGTGTCAATGTTATTTGCATAATTCATAATGCAATAACGGTCGTTTGTTTTACTGATTTCAACATCGCCGTATATGAAAAACGCTCCAATCAATGCCGTTCTTGGTTAAATCGTTCTTCATCAGATATATTATGACGATAATAACGGAACGACGAGAATCTCGAGGAATTTTTAAACTCGCGTAGGTAGTTATACAAATAATAAAAAACGAAGTGCGGCGCTGCCGTGAAGAGCGCAAGCCAAAAAATCCGACGAGTTCCGAGAGTCGTATCGTTTGTCATTTTACAATGTACGGATACTGTGTTAAACGGGAAGGGGGGAAGTGTTGGTTGTTTTTTTTTTTTTATTTCTGTCGGCTATCGCGCGGTAAATACAAAAACATTATTACAATATTCCTGCAGACGGTTTTCGACGACACGTCCAAATACGAAGGGGAGAAAAGATGTCGAGGTCATCGAATACAAACGGTTATCTACGGTTATAGTCGATGCCGTTGATTACTAAACTAGAACAGCGAGACGTGAGGGATCGTGATTTATATTTTATTTGAAAAAAAAAAAAAAAACGTACTCATTGTACTCATCGCACGGACGTTTTTACCCATTGAATCTTAGAGCCATAGGGAGCCGGCATGTACTATAGGTGTTTCCCCGGGATATTCGGCGGTAGGTGTCTACAATAATTTTAATTGTGCGCAGCGGTGTAGCCAGGATTTATGGGTCGGGGGGCGGACGGGAGTCAGAGTGATACAAGAAGGTTTGGGCGGTCTACATTTTTTCTTGACCTTGTCAATAACTAAAAATCAATACGGGGGTTACAACACCCGATATTTTCCGTTGACAAGTGACGATATGTTCACTGAAGTAAATCGACGAGTGCCGTATAATGATGATATTCCACGTGGCCTATAAAAAGTACCGGCCGGCTTTGTGTTTACACACTGCGCAAGTGGTGTTTCCGCGCACGATTGAAATGCACCGAACGCGGACCGCTCCCTAGGTGCCGAAACGGATACCGGAACGCCGGGTCGGACTTCCTCATAAAAACATTTATCCTGCCGACCGCGAGTGATACACGGCGGTCGGTCCCGTGTCTGCTCGTCGCGGTCTTTCGCCGAATATTTTTCCTTTGTATGCGTCGTCTACGTCGACGGCTCATCACGACCGACGTGCAATACGTCCTGGTGCAGCATCCGGAAGCTCATTTCGAGCCCCGACTGACTATTACTGCTCTCCCCACGCCCCCCTCACCCCTCCGGAATCAAATCATATCCGGTGTTGTATCAGATTCGATAAGTCACTTCATTATCACACTAGATTACAATCGCTTCATCATCGTCGTCGTGTATCGCGGGGACCGTCGAGGTCCGACGCCGCCAAGACTTTGTCGTCCACTCCTCACTGTTACACTGTCACAGCCGTGACCACGCGGACTCGTTCTTGAAGCGTTTCCGGATCCCTCGCAACAGAGTCCGTCCGTCCGCTTACTCCGGCCACTTCGCCGCGTTCGTTTTTCCTTCCCGGAATTCCGGCGGCCTGTAAATAGTCCTTGCCGCGAACGACGTTGCTGTAAACGTCGAAAATATTCGGCCGGGACGCGCGCCGGAGGCCGCGTAAGCGCGCGTAACGGGGCGGGACGCGGGACAAATGTGATGTGGAAAGGAGGGAGGGAAGGGGCGTTTAAACCGCGGCCCCGGGGGTCGGACGGTAATGCCCTGTAATAACATAACGTACTACGCGTATAATTAATGCGGCATATTAAAACGATAATTTCGTTTTTTTCCTACGCACAATAATAATGTACGTATTACGAATAAAAGATACGAGTATATTATGTACGGTATTTTTTTTTTTTATTTTTTTAATGACGACGTCGCGTACCTAATATAATAATATGGGTATAATAATAATAATAATAATAATAATAACGTTGTTATATTTTACGGTCGGCCGGTCGTCGCGGGCGTTTCGGCGACCGTGGCTTCGGCCGCGGCGGTGTGTCGGCGGCCGTCGTCTCGGTCGGCGGGACCTTTTACCATTTTGTTATTATTATTATTATTTTTTTTTTCTTTTCATTTCATTATTATTATTACACTATCGCGCGCGGGACGGCTCGCGTGCGGCGCGGCGGCGCCCGGCCCGGCCGTCTATCCAGCGGCGACCACCCAGCTCGCACACCGCGTCTCGGCGTCGTCGTCGTCGCCGTCGCCGGCTACCGGCGGTCCGGCCGATTTTACGGCCGCGGCGCGCGCGGTACCACCCGCTGTCGCTCCGGGACACGCAACGCGCGCCACCGTGTAATACCGCGCTGTTATTGTTGTCGTGTCTGTACGCGCGTACCCGTCGGGCGGGCCGTCGTCCCGCCGGCGTTGCGTTGTTGCGTCAGCGTTACGGCCGGTCGCGCGGCCGTTAACAATTTACACGCGTCCGGTGAACATCCGAGACGGGGTAGAAGCGAACGGACAATGAGAAAAAAAAAAGGAGCCGGGCTGCGAGGGCGCGCACGCTGCCCCGGCACTGCGGCACTCCGCGACGGCGCTCCGCGTTTCCGCCGAGCGCCGGTCGCGGTCGCCGAACGCCCGGCGTTTACTCCGGGGCGTTGTGTTTTTTTCCGCCCGTGCCGTCAAGGTGTGGTCGAACCCACGAATCGACGAACGCGATTCGATTTAAAAACGACAATATTGTTCATTGTCAAATAATTTTGTCTCGTTTTATTTTTTTTTTCATAAGAAATGCGATAATTTGAATACGATCGCGATGCCCCGGGCTCGGACGTACGTACGATTATAATTGTATGGGTTTCAGTTCAAAATAACATAACATTACACCATTACACCAGACTATTGGTTTCGTTGGACGTTGACGACGATTAATTCTCGAGTTCAATTGTATAGTTTTTCTTAGCCTTCAAAAATAGCTATTGTTTTACAGAGAAAATCGAGATTGTACCCAGTCACTTAGTTGTAATTTAATTATAATTGTCAATATTTCCTCACAAGTCGATGTTATAGAACAGAGATAAAAAATATAAAAATACTTGTCGGACGTTTATTTTATTTCCATCGCATGGAATACTTTTTCGCAAAGTAGGTATTGTGAAAAGAGAACATAATATACGTGTACTGACATGAGCCGAGGACGGCAACGACATTTCTGAGAGTAATTGTTGACGGTCTGACGGCCGAATAAAAAAAATAAATACGTTCTTCAATGATTAAAAATTATACGATTGAAAAATATGAAAAAAAACCGACATACTTCGCACACGGATGCAGCCACTGTTGTAGATGGGACGTTGGGAAGGTAGGATACAGACGGGAATTTCATGTATATCCGTAAGCAACGATAAACCATTGGTAACGAAAAAACGATTCTGAGCCGACTTCAATTGATAATGTTGCTTTGTCAACAATACAATATATGGTAAAATGATTAAAACAATGCGCGTTTCCTTGACAAAAATGATTGTTTAAAAGAGATTAAAATAATAACAAAAAATAAATAAAACCGGTTGCCAATGGAAATCCCATTTTTAATCTTTCAATATTGTTTTAACCTAAACACCGAGGTTTTCTTCGTTATCTCGAATATTAATGAGAATTTCAAAAAACTACCTCTCTGAAGTACCACACAGAGAAAATTTCCCTTTCAGAAAATGTGCTATACTCGATAATCGGAGTACGTTTCCCGGTAGAAAAAGTGTTCACATAAAAAAAATAAAATAAACATCATTGTAAAAACCAATACATTCCTCGTTCCACTCATTATGCGTGCGTGCACTGTACATAGAATATACGTTGAATACATATATTGGATACGTATAGGTACTATACACATTTTGAAATTTCCTTACCTCTTTGAACATTTTTTTGCGGCTATACAGAAGACGCAATTCCTAATCGAAAATCAGCAACCAGCGTGCACCTGCAGCAGTATACACGTAAACCGAATGCACCGTATATAGCGGTGTTCCCATTAATATTTTAGTGGGCACACTATGATATAGCGTCCCGTGCCTCGGATCAAGGGTGCCACCATGTGTCAAAACCTAATGGGGTCACAATTATAAAAATAAAAAAAAAAAAAAAAAACTTAAAAACTCAGAATCAACGAAATCGCTTTTATTAAATAACGAATCGAACACAAATTTTATGTACGAACAAAAACAATATTTTAAAACAAAAACTGTAAATTGCGTTTCTGCAAACTACATTTTTCAACTACGTTTTCAATAAACATGTTGGTGTCGTGATGAATTTTCTGTCCACGAACGCTGAGCATACTGCACAGTCCATCCAACCTATATTCTCCCTTGTCGTTACCAATTTTTTTTTTTTTTTTTTTTTGGTTATCGCGGCCTCTGTTTCTCTTTCCCGTCGTACATCCAGCGTTCCGTCCATCCCGATCAGTTTCTCGTGCCTTCCGATCTGTTCCTCCTCCTAGTTGTTCCGTATGCTCCTTCACTACATCTTCCCATTTCATACTCGGTCTTCCGGTGAGTGGGTCTTTTTCCCGTTGACACTGTGCGGAGTAATGGGTTTTGGCTTCTCCGAGCGTGCCCCGTCCATTGTAGCCTGTTTTTCCTGATTGCTAGTGATTCCGAATTCTCGTTTTTCCTAATTTCCATTGCCGTTAGAAAAATTAATTTATCGTAGCTAGAAAATAGAACGACAATGAGAAATTAACGGGCGATGTCGCCTTGCGCGGGGCATTTTTTTGTTTGTTTTTTATTCTACATTTTTCTTACGGTTTTCACAAAACCCGGACAGAGACCGTCGCCGCGGCCACCGGATAGGCGAATCCGCGTCCGGAATTTCCGCCGGGCAAAACGTTTTCGGAGGGAGGGGGGGGGCGCTTAAAAGCCGACGGCCCCCGGGCGCTAAAATGTTTAACGCGGCTCCGACGACGGTAATAATAATCATTATCGTACGTAATATTATAATAATAATAATGACGTTCTGTGCGCGGCGAGTACGGCCTCGGGGACCGGACCGGAACGCGTGCGCGTCTCCCGGGCAAATCCGACGGCCCGTGACGCGGCGGCGGCGGCGGCGGCGGCGGTCGTCGTCGTCGCGTTCCGTTCAATTACGGACGCGTCGCCGCCCTCTCGCCGGCCGCCGACCGCCGCGGCGCGGCGTACCGACGAAATTTCGCCCGCCGCGGTTCGATTTTTTTTTTTATTATTGCTGTTACCGCCGTCGCTTTTTCACTATTGCCGCCGTTGCCGTTACGACGCACGCTGCGCGCGTATGTTCTTACGGTTATTACGATTATCATTATTGTTGTGTGCGACGGCGGCGGTCGCCCCGGAGACCGTTAATTAATTTAAGTGGATAAACGGCAGTCGGCGCGGCGTCGATGCGGTAGGTCGCGCAGAGTCCCGCGGTCGTCGTCTCTCGCGATGCCGCGCGGTCGCCGCCGCCGCCGCCGCCGTTTCGTACGCATTACGATAACAATCGTATTATTGTTATCATTGCCGCGGTTATTATGCCGGACCGCTCGTACCGCGTCCCCGGGCCGGACGTTTCTTTATCCGTCCACGCCGCCGCCTCCGCCCCGGTTTCGCGGACCGTTTCGATCCGATTCACCAGCCGTCCCGCGCCGTGCGCCGGTTTCGCAATGATGTTTATTTATTTTTTTCACCCGCGGACACACGTTTACTACCGGCGATTCCGCACCGATTTTCGAGTGCGGCGCTTATTCCGAAACGGAACGGGCGACCGGGTCGATACGTTAGGGGGGGGGGGGGGGGTGGCCGTTCGCCAGTGTTTGTTTTTATACTAAATGGGAAAACCCGGGAAAAGACGTGGGAAAAAAAAAAAAAAAAACGAAAAAACTTACGAAACACATTATTTTTTCAATTTTTTTTTTTTTTTTGCTTCGCAGCGATTCAGTTGAAAATACTACCGAAAGTACTTGAAGTACGAACAGAGAAAATCGTATATTTGCTATTCGTAGACGTTTAAATTGTACGGGGTTTTTTTTTTTTTTACTTAATTTTTGTTCGGTAGGCTAGATCAATGCCGGAAAATTTAACAAAAGGTTCATTATATAAGTCGTACTTAGGGGTGGTCAAAAAAAACTATTCAGTTTAATGTAGTATTTTTTTTTTTTTTTTTTTTTTTT